GAAGAAAGAAAAGAGAATGAAGATGGGGCAAGTGGGAGAGAGAAAGACAGAAGAAACAGAAGGAAAAGAGAATGAAGAAGGATGTGAGAGAATAAAGAAAGGGTACATTTTCTGGAAGAACCTCTAGATAGCCAACAATGGAAGGAGTTGGAAATGTCAGTTGTAAAGCCCAGGTATCTTTCAAGTTTATAAACACATTTTATATCATTCATCAGAATCTACAAATATAAGAGAGTCCTCAACTTACGACCACAATTTAGATCCAAATTTTCTGTTGCTAAGGAAGACAGTTGTTAAGTAAGTTTTGCCACATTTTACCACTTTCCTTGCCACCGTTGTTAAGTGAATCACTGCAGCTGTTAAGGTAATAACATGGTTGTTAAGTGAATCCAGCTTCCCCATTGACTTTGCTTGTCAGAAGGTCGCAAAAGGGGAATCACATGATCACAGGACACTACAACTGTCATAAATATGAGTCAGTTGCCAAAAGCATTCTGAATTTTGATCCCATGACCATGGGGATGCTACAGTGGTCGTTAAGTGTGAAAACTGGTCATAAGTCACTTTTTTTCAGGGCCATTGTTGACTTTGAACGGTCAGTAAGTAAACTGTTATAAGTCAAGGACTACCTATAACTTTAGAAAAAAGCCCTTGGAATGCAGTACTCTGTCATATCAATGGAGGATTTGAAAAAAACCTGCACAGAGATAGAGTAGATTCACAGGAAAACACGTTGGTCTTGATGAAACCAGAATCAGAATTTATTTTGGATTAATTGCAGAAATAATAAGCACAGGAAACTTCAAGGCTTCGGGATGGGGTGTGAATCCACACCTTTGAGACTTTTGGTCAGATGAGGGTCTGTTTGGAACTATTTTACCTCAAAGGTGAAAAAAAAAGGTCAATTGTCACCACTACAATCTTTCTCCTGTTGTAGTCAGTGGTGGGATTCAATTTTTTTTCACTACCGGTTCTGTGGGCATGGCTTGATGAGTGTGGCGTGGCTTG